AATAGTTTTAAGTAGCATTACCATATATCCCAGTTTTTTATATCCCTTTTTCTGTCTTAGTTACTAATAGTAGCTCCCCCCTTTCTCAAAAGTGCCTTGATTTGGATAAATTGTCTTGCTACCATGGATTATAGGGAAGAACAATGAGAGAGAATCAGTGATTAAGGGAAGGTAAGAAGAAAGAATGGGAGAAACTTGAGCTGCTTGAGGTTTAAGAGGTGAGGAATTGGAGAAATAGCTGTATAGTCTGGTGTGTTATATAGTCTTCAGATAGACAAAATTATTTGGCTTTTAAATTATAAGTATGGTAGCCTAATGTGTAAGAATTTGGAAATCTTGGGGGCTGCATGGGATCAAAGGCAGATTTATTTTTATTAGTCACACTATAGAATCCTTGCTGCAGGTTAACAGGTTAATATGTTTACTTAGAGCTTTAAACATTTTTATGGCTAATGGCAAGAGTTCCCTGTAATGTACAAACCTTGCATTTGTTTCTTTAAGAAAATGAATTACAGTGTTAAAATTGTGTTATATGTGTATGTATTTAACTTAGATAATTGTATAGTGATGTTCAATATTGATTGACCCTGACTATTAAGAAAAGCCAAGCTGGTAATGAAGGAAATTGGGTAGAACCATATTATTATCTTCATATTTGTTAAGGAAACATGTAAGCTGAACAAAATAAGTGTTTTTTAAATCAAATGTGTCATTAAGGATTTTTTCATGTTGCAAGTTTCAATTTACATGCTTGTGAGCCCATTTTTCAGTTAAGGAGATGTATCTGTTCAAGGAAATGGAAAGTCTAGATGTGGGGAGCTCTCAGTGTTGGCTGACCCAATGGCCCAATAAGCTCGACGCTATCCTGTTTGTTTCCATTTCTCTGCTCTGACGTCCTGGCATCTCCCGCAGCCTGAGCCTGGCACTCCCCTTGCTGTGGAAAGTCTTGTTTGCATTTTTTTTTATGATGCTGATGTGTGCTTAAAACCTTTTTCAAAAATTTTCAGAAGTCATCCAGTGATAACTGCCTTACATTCTGAAAGAGCTTAATTTTACACAGGACCTTCACAGCCATCTTGTGGGATGAACAGTCTTTCTGGGTAGAGGAATTACCATTTGTATTTTGCATGTGAAGAAACAGAGTGTGGTTGATTCACTCAAGGTGGTGTAACTGGCAGGAGGAACTTGGACTCAAACCTGGGTCTTCTGACTTTATGTCCACTGCTCTAGCCATGATGTTCCCTTTTACTTTGACTTGCTCAGTTTATTTCAGAAAGAAGGGCTTTGTTTTTTCTCCCAGTCTCCATGCCATTTAGGCTTAATTTAAGGTTGTGCCACACTATTTCTTCTTAGGAAAGAACTAACCTAGGTGCCTTTGGGCTAACTGGACATGTTTTTCCCATCAGCAAAGTGACTTTACTGATGCAAAATTCTCCCCATCGTACGGGTGTACCCTGGAGAAGCTAAGGGGCTGCAGTCCAGTGTCCTTTGACAGTTCTGCCTCAGTTGTCATCCCATTCCATTCCGAGCATAAAGATTTTGCTATGTTCTTCACCTCTCGCACTTGCTGCTTGCGCCCTGTCCTCTTAATTCCAAACTCCCCTTGCCAGACTTATGCTTATCCCTCAAGAACCAAGTGAAAAGCTGCTGCCTCAGTACTGTTTCCTCTGCTTACCCTAGTAATCACTTCTTTCTTTCCTGAGCCTTTGTGGTACCCAGAACTTCTCTACAGCGCTTGCCACACACTCCTTTGCACTACAGCTCTTTGTCTTTATTACATTTCTCCCTGAAATATTGTGCTGAGCTCCTTAAGGGCAATGACCGTTTCTCATTTATCTTGGTGTCCCCATAGCACTTAGCACAGTGCCATATCCCTAGAAAACTTCAAAGTTAATCTTTTTGAATAAATGAGTAGGCTTCGAGATTTTTATGCTCACTTACAAAGTTTTGAAAATTGTAGATTTTTAAAGCTCATGGATATTACATGGGAGCCTGATTATTGGTATAATTATCATCTGGTTTGCACATAATTTTAAAAAGTATAACTTTTTATGCAGCAGGTTATCAGATACAGTTTTAAGTCTGCACTGCTTATGTGAGACTAGCGTTTAGTTAACTTGTGTAGGTGTTTTTAAGAAGAGGGAGAGGGGTTGCAGAGCTGAGGTCTTTTTTCAGGAGCTCAGTGAGCCGGCTCCTTGCACTGTTGGTATATCCTGTTAGGTTAAGCCATGGCACAGCTGTCCCCACCTGACTGGCTTTGCTCTTGTAGCTTGCATTCATTGCATTAGATGAGAGAACACATTTCAAGACTTTAACTCTTCTCTGCCTGGCCTCAACTCAGTTTCAAAAGTATTTGAGAGGGTTTTGGGAAATAGACATTCATAGACAGGACTTTGGTGGTGTTGAGAGTTCTCTCTATGTTATGTGTATTTTTTTTTAATGTTTACATATGTACATTTCACTCTATGTTCTTCCAGTTCTGTAGAAGTTGGGTTGGCCTAATAATTGTCATTTTTAAGAATGAGGTAATTCCGATATGTGAAGGCAGAGAAAAATTCACCGTGAGAGACACCAGAATAGATCCCTTTTGGGGAATGAAGGACTTTGAGGTAGAGCTTTTAAAATGTGTAAGACCAAGGAAGGTAGAGAGGTGAATATTCCCACGTAGAGGTAAAAAACAGATGAAAGTCTGTAGTGAGAGTGGGCACATCCTGGTCGGAGGGAGCAGGGCACAAGGAGGATCCTACCTAACCAGGCTTCAGTCAAAGGTCACTTGAGAGCAATGGTTCACAAACTGAGTGCGTAAGAACTGTTCAGTGCGTTTCTTAAATGTTCACGTTCCTGTATCCCACCCCTGCCTTGAAGTTCTGCCAGTTTGCTGAGGTTTAGGATATGGCCTAGGCGTCCACATTTCTAAAAAGCACTCACTGATCTTACACACCCTGAAATGAGGGAACCCCCCACTTATGGAGCAAAGAGGGTCTGTTGATGGGGTAGCAAGGACTGTGATTTGGGATGATGCTTTGGGACTTAAGGAATCTGGAGCTTTAGTGGGGAGATGAGTTCCAGAGCAGCTGAGGGCTCCTGGAGAGGTGGTACATGCGGTGAGGAGGCAGGGAAAAGGGAGGATCAGGAACTGGGGGGTAGAACTTTTCCTTGGAAGAAGGTCTATACAACTGAAAAAAGAGTTTGCTCTTGTGGAAACTGTTAGAAATTGCAGAGAAATTTTTCACTTACATAATCTGTTGAAATTTTATAGAAAGGTAGCCTTTTTAATCCACCTCTTTAAGGATCTGACAGTGGTCTCTCATAGTCATCCAAAATAGCCTAAGATTAAAGATTGGTCTAATCTCGAGATGACTTGGAATTCATGAACCCTGGCAGATCCAAGGACTTTGTGAATCAACTCCCAGAAGCTGTAGAATTTTGTGTGGGTGCTTGTTTTTGGAGGGAGTGTCTCTCGTCTTGATCACATTCACAAAGGAGCCTGTACTGGGATTTGGGGTAAGATAATTTAGTAATCAGCTTATATTGTCTGGCTGGCTTGCTTTCTCTTCTTTTTAAAGATCCCAAACAAATTTCTGTTAGTGATAAAATAAGCCAAAAGAACAAAGACGACTCCAGTGCCTTGGGTGGTTGGCAGGGGAGCCCTAGACTTCCCTACAGAGGACCTTCCATTTGTTTTTTCTTGGGTGGGCATGCCATCATTAACAGTCACCTGCAGGAGAACAGCAATGGGGAGCTTTTTGTAAAATGTGTGATGAATTTTCCTGTTCCTCTCTGAGCAATTTCAATGGTCTCAGCTGAAGTACAAAAAAGAAAGGGCTATTTTAACAGTGAGGAGGTGAATTACTAGTTATTACTATCAAGTTTGGAGCTGAGGAAAGAAGCTGGTGCGTGAAACAGGACTATGTGTGAATGGATTTCTCAAGTGTTTCATTAAAGTTTCATCGGAACGGTTAGCCCTCTAACCATCTTAGAGTCTCCCACTTCTGATTCCTTTGTGGAATAAAAAAAATGCTTTTGGGAAGCAGGGTTAAACAAGCCTTTTGTCTGAATTTCCATATATTGATTACTGGGTCCAGCAGAGCACCCTGCTGGGAGTTCCCTCTGCTGATGGGAACCCTCAAAATGAGCAAAGCTTTTCTGAGCTGGCACTTTCCACACAGACTGCCTGTACGCTCTTACCCTGGGTGTGACCATTTTAAAAAAGCCACAGTGCTAGAATGAAAACAGGCCATTTCTAAATGGCCTATTGATTTACATTTTGTGTCAGGTTGAATGGTCTATCTGAGTTGAGGGGAAAACACAGGCTATTTTCAATTTATTATTGTGTCTTAAAGGTTTGAGTTGACAATGTGTGGCACTTGTGTTCCCTCCTGTTGGAAGGTCTACTGGCATCCTATGTTTTGGTTATATATGTAAAAATCTGGTTCAGTAGTTTACACTGTAAAAAGCTTCTATAGCCCCACTTTCAGTGTGAGTTACACTTAGTAAATATGGATCTAGAAGGCCTAATTATGACTCCAACTCTCCCATAAACTTGGGGACCACCTCCCCACCAACACTGCCCACCAGGCTATTTATGGAAGAAGGTGCCAGCGACTCTTAGGTGTCGGCCCGTTACGCAGAGTCTGTATCTATTCTCCTTGCCGCAGTATGCAAACCTGAAGCGAGTCTGGGCTCTGCGTCAGTTACAGATGGTGATAAACTGCATCAGGGTGTACCTGGACAGACTGTTTTTTGCCTACTGATGTAGGATATCAGGGTGGCTTTTATTCTAATGTGTAGGGTCTGAATTTAAAGAAGCTCTCCTGGTCTTAATATCCGGGCTGACTTGGTGTGGGTCCTGCTTTGATTTCCCAGGCAAATATTTTATGCAACTTTTAAAACAACAATAGTCATGAAGGTAGTTGAGATATCGAGTGTTTGTATTTCCCCAAGCATGACGGGTCGAGGAGGAAGGAAGTTCTGGTAATGACAGATGCTTTTCATTACAGATATGGTGCCATTCATCCTGACGAAGGGATTCGTTTCATCTTGAGGCATTCTTCAGGCAGGAGTGAGCGAGGTGTCACCCTTCCAGCCTATTTTTTAACCTGTATTTTACTCCATCACTTCAGTGCTTCTTTTTTTTTTTTTTCCTCTCGAAGCTGCAGAAATGTTCATGAAAGGTGAGGAACTACCAGAAGTAGCTGTGACCAGAAACGGACTGAGGAAATTCCTGACCCGAGCCTTCAGTTTAAACTGCCAGTTTTAAAATTGAGACTCTCTCCTTGCAGGGGACATGATATAATGGAGTTGCAGCTTTGAGGGCTGTGCGCTTCACTGTCTTGATGTCAATTTTGGTGATACGTAGGACCATGGCAATAAAAAAGCTTTGACTCCAGCTCTGTGTGGGTGACAGAGCATCCTAGAAAACAGGGTGCCCGTGGAGTAGACCTAGAATTTAAAGGGTTTTTGCATCATATTATGTGTTGCGTAAGGTTCCTTCTTATCTCTGGTCTAGTAAATTGAGCTCAAACGTGCCTGTGTACCTTTTATCTCCTGTATAACAAATTATATCTGTCAGAGACATTTTGTAGGTGGGCTGAATATAGGAATCTATGAGTGTTTCACAGAACACTCAAACTGAAACTGAGATACTTAGTTCCTCAAGAAAACATGTTAAAGCATATTATTTAAAAACAATTTTGGGTATTTCCAAACTTTTCTATCCCTCCCTCCCATGTCCATCCAGAGGCTTTGACATGGGAAAAAAAACAAACAAAACCTTTTCCCCCTGCAACATGTACCTGTGTTTCCTGCTCTTGAATTTCAAGTCCCCTGGGCAGCTCTGGTGCCTTGAGGCTGCCTGCAGGATAGGACACATAGAAATCTTACCTGTAGGTAACTCTGAAAATGGGACTGAAGTCTGTCTCCAAGAACTGCTGCAACTGTGAATGGAACAGCTTTTATAGAAATGCATGGCTTGCGAGCTGTTGGAAAAGGGGAGAAAATTCGTTCTGTTAACAGTGCCACTGTGAAGCACTAATGCAGGTGGTAGGTAGAACCAGTTGTCCTTCACCTAGTAGGCTCACTGGAGCCAGTTAGTTGGGGATGTTTTTTATTTGGCCCTTTGTTTCTCCTTGTTGAGAGTATCTTCATATGACTGTTATGCTTGTGCCTCCCTTCAAGAAAAAAATGGCTTTAAAAGTCCTCATAGAAGTTTTCTCTTCTGAAGCATGGAGTAATACCTCATATGTTTGTTTGCATACCTCAAATGCCTTTGTGTAGAGACTCAATGAGTACTTGTTAGTGAATTTGATTTTTTAAAATTTAATAAGCATTGTTCAAAACAAATCAAACTATTTTCTTATACTGAACCAGAGCCTAGAAACTGCTGCAGTGTAGTAATATGTGTACTATTCCTGTAACTGAAAAAATAAAATTAGAATAATGTTTCTGAGTCAGTTTTGAAATCCACTTCACCTTTAAGACTGCTTTCTCCTGTAGGTTTGAAATTTTACATGTTGGTTTTAGGGGGCTCCCAAGTAGTATTCAGTACTTCCAAATATAGGCCACATAGATAGATAGGGTAAGGGCCTCTCTGCTCATAGGGAAATGGGAACTCAAAAAGTTTGTCAGAGTTCTCATGATTGTAAGTGAGGAGACACATTGTTAAATGTAGAAAAAATCAAAATGGAAGGTAGGTGGTTGTCCCAGTCTAGGATTTTTGGATAGAATGTAGTTATAATCCAAGTACTTCGTGGAGAATGCTGACGGTCATTCCCAGAAAGAGATACATTCCACTGAAAAGGAAAGTTCAATAGCCAATAGAGGCATCACTGATGAAGCAACGCTTATGTCAAAGGTGCTCATGAAAAAGGAGTTTTGATCCTTTCCATTATGTATGTCTCACACGTCCATTGACCTGGGCTGGTTCCCACCCAAATACCCGCCTCGAACTCTGGGGAAAAAACAGCGTGACAGCCTTCAGCAAGTCCCTTGACCTCCCTTCTGTGGGCATGTTTTATTAAAAAATACAGAATGTTCTATGCAATAATCTCAAGTGACATCTTATTTAAACTGGCCAGTCATGGCAGTCCAGTGCCCTCCTGTGATTATTTCTCATTGGCATCCGAAGCCGGAGACTCCTATGTAGATCTCACTCCGGGGTGACAGGAGTCAAATTACTTCCTGTTGAGGGGTGTCCTGATCATCTTAATGGTCCTAATATTGTCAGTTCTTGGTTTCTACCCATGGTTCTGTGATCATCTGTCTGCCAAGCTCCCCAGGTGTCCGTGCTGCCAGGTCACTGTTGAGGGGAATTTGGAACTTAGCCTCTTGCTCAGCCAGTGATCAGCATACTCACCCAAGCCCAGGTCCCCACTGGTGAGCAGGGCTGCTGGATAGTGGGGAGCTCTCCCTGGGGGCTCCCACTTGGTTCAAGCCCATTACCTGGGGGCCCTCACCCAGCCTAGGCAGGTGGTATAGGTGCAGAGATGCCCATCATGCCCTTGCTGTGCTTTGCATCACGTTCCTCCTACAAGCCCCAAGAAATTCAGGTCACACCAGCTGTGAGATGAAGAGAAAATCTGCCCATGGTTTTAATTTTCGTAGTCAAACCCATCTCTTCTTCATAGGTCAGTATAAAACACACCACTCTCAGTAAAGAATCATAGTAACTTACACTATGTCCTGCTTACTCACTGTGCCAAGCACCTAGTCTCAGCCTCTGTGGGTGTTAGTTAAGTCTTGGAATCCTCATGCCACCTTAGGAGGCAGGTATAATATTAGCCCCAGTCTACAGGTTAGTTGAGCAGAGACACGGAGCAGTTAAGTGACGTGCTGGAGGTCACTGGGCTGCTGGAGCCAGGCATTGACCCATCCAGCTCCAAGGCCCAGCCCTTACCCTCTCCTAGGTGTTGTCACCAAATGCAAGCTGGTTGCTTTTGAATTCTCCTGGGGATTTTGGGTGATTGAGTTTAACCATTTATGAGAGCAGACAGGTTGTTTTCTGAATCTTCAGAGGACAAGGAAGAGACCAGATGAGCTTAGCATGTTCGGCAGGCCCTAGTACTCTGGGACCTTCTTTCCTCCCCCTCTGATCCCAGCCCCCATGAACTTGGAATGCCAAGTACTCTACTGCCCATTTCCTTTTTATTGAAATAGATTTTCTCCAGTGTCTCCATCTTCTTCAAATCTTCCCTTCCTCCTCCTTTTTTGAACAAGATTAGCCTGTGTTCATTCTTGGGGTCTAGGGTCTGTGCTCCATGAGCCAGAGACTGCATTGGCTGGGGCGATGCCATCTTGCTGTCTCCCTGGAGGACTTAAATGTCTCCTGATTTGGGGAAGGAGGACATGATAGCCTTTTCCACAGAAGCTGTGTATTGGTGTGTATCTGGATTGCTTCCGATTTGACGTCACTCTTCTCCAGCTAGGCTTGGGCAAAACCCTTGCTTTACCTGGACCTTGTTTGAGTTAATGTCTCAGCCTCCAGGTGAAATGAAGAATGAAATACAGATTCTAGTTTCCAATATAAAACTAACTTGTTTTTACTCTGAGTTCTATCGTCAGATTATTTTCTATCCAGAGGCCCTGAGGAATTTCTTTCCCTCTTTTGTTTTGATATATTAAAGTTCTTGAATTATATTCCACATTATTGATCTTGGCAAATGCAGGTTTTTAGAACAGAGAGAAGTTAATGGTGCCTTGCTGTTACTGTGCATTACTTGAATTCTGCCGAACACCTGAAAGAAGGGAATTATATCAAGGCATAGTCTTTGAACATAAAATCAGTTTACACTTTGCCTTCTTAAAAATTGATTGATTCATTCAATACATTTGGTGTTTGCCATTTCTAAAACTTTATTCTGATTTAGTATCATTGTAAAGTCTTAAATTTTACTTCAGCAAGGTGTTCTGGTAGCCCCACTTCTAGGCTACCTTGCTCTGTATTCAAGACTGAAAGGAACAAAGGAGTTTTTAGGCTTTTGTCACTAACCGATACTTTAAAATACTGTTGTACTGTTTTAAAGCCTCAATTTTGTTTCTTGGTTCCTTTGTTCTTCAGAAGGGATACTTTACAATCCTTTAGTGTATTTAGGTAACTTTAGAGAGTGTGGTATCCCTTCCCCCAGGGTTAGAGAACTCTGAATGATGAAATTCCTGTGGAGTCTTGAAGCATCTTGCCTTTGTTAGGGAGTAATGTTTCTCCAGTTCATTAAGCTTATAAGAATTTTCTGGTATTGAATGAAAGAGAATTGTAGGTATTTCAGGAATTCCTGAGTAGCTATTTTATAATCAGACTGATGAAAAGAAAGCAGTTTGAGGCTTAGGGTTATATGTAATTCAAGTTTCAGATTTTAAAAGCAGTGCAAAAATCTGACACCCTTGTTTCACAAAATGCTTTTTTACACTGAGGGACAAATTGCTAAATGGCATAAAATAAGCTTGGTTTGAGAAGTATTGAAAGAAAAATGTTTCATGAGGCATATTTTTAAAATAGATTCAACTCCTATAAACCAGTGTTCATTTTCAAAAATATTAATTACAGCGATTCAGTTTTGATAACTAATCTATACATACACTATCCACACAGGTTGTATTTGAGGAAGTGTTTCTACAAAATTTTATGCCACTTTATTATTTTGATAATTTTTTGAAGATATAGAGATTATTATCTATAAATAACTTATAAGTTCAACATTTTAATACATAAATAGTCTCAGTTTTTGTGGTGAGGCCTTTTTTTTTTGGGTCTACTGAGTCATTATTCTTGCTAAGTTTGCTTTAACATCTTCCTTTTAGGAAGAGATAAGGGTAATGGGAAGTTGTAGAGATAACCTAATTAATAACCAATATCAGCTTTAGAGTGCTATGCTCTTTTTTTTTCTTGCTATTTTTTTGGCAGCAAGAATTGCACAAACACAAACAAACTAGCTAATACAGCTGTTTATCCATTATAACCACAAACACTATTTTCTTTATGCCTTATTGCTTGACTTTCAACCGTTGCCTTCAGACAATGAGAGCTGCTTGTGCATCAATTAATTTTTTTAATTTTATGCAAAGGTTCATAATCTGGCCTGTCTCCAAGCTCTCTCTATAATAAGGTAATTGACTGGTGACATACAATACTTGATTTATACCAGGAATATTTTTTCTAAAGAGGTTTACAGAGTGATTATTT